TATATGCCCCTTTAAGTTTTCTCTTGAAGGAAACAGATGAGTACATAATTTCCTATTTTAACATTTTTTAATAGGTACACTCCTTTACTCGGCAGTGTATACAGACCATGCTAAGAGAAGCTGAAACGATGAGGTTAGCCTTAACTGATTTACTACCTTTCTTACTTGGAGTAAATGCTTACAGCTGTTTCTTTCTCAGTGGTCGGTGTTTTGTATGTGAAGTCACTGGGGAGGCTGCTGTTTAAATATTTAAAAGCGAGGTATGATTCAGGGGAAGGTGGGATCAAAATGGGGACGGACGCACTCGGCTCAGCCAGGAGAGGGGTGGCTCGTGTGAGCGACGATGAATGGGCAGATGTGTGCGTTGCGAGGCGGGCGGTGAGTCAGAACTGAGCCTCTGCTGAAAGAATGTGTTCTGCTCCAGCCTGCTGGGAAAATGAAAACAGAAGGGAGGGGACTGCACTGCTTTGCTGGGGACTGGTGTTTCCTGGGGTGGGCGAAGCGGGTCCTGTCGCTGGTGGTGGCCGTTTCGAGCCTGCTGATTCATTAGTTGGTGGGTGGTGAGAACTGCGTGCAGTCTCTGGGGGAGGAAATGCCTTGGCTGCTTTAGGGAGAAGGAACACTTTCTGTAACTGCAGGATGTGTGGATGGAGCCTACAGATAGCGTATCTGTAGCCCATCAGTTAAATACCCTGGTGTTGCGAGATAAGGATTTACTAGAGGACTAAAATAGGATGTGAAACTGAGGTTTTGTGTCTTGTGCTCAAGTAAAGCAGCTTTTTTTGAAGTCACTGAGAATTGTCCTCTGTCTGCTTTGCTATATTCAAATCAAGTTTGGTTTTCAAAATAAGAATGGTGTTACAGGAGCCAAGTCCCTGCCTGGTTCTAACACCAAAGCTAACTCCCAGTTAGTTGGAATTGGAGGAGAGCGTTGCTGGTTTAAATGCAGGTGAAAAGAGATAACAGACGAGTTGAAAGAGTACAAAAAGGAAGGTGAGAGATGCTGTATATTGCAGGTGTGGCACAGAGGTCTTTGAGATCAAGCCAGCTGGTAGGCCAGGAAGGCACGAACACAGCTCAACAACTTGGAGCCCAATGTATTCGTGCAGCACCTTCTCAACTCTACCTGTGTTTATAGTGCTGTTCCTCCTCTGTCCAGTTAATCTGCCGGGAGATAAGTGTCTACTCTCGCTGGTTGTTCAGGCAGCAAGCAGAATATTTGTTCTAACACTAAAAGCCCATTCCCAATGTAAAAGTGATGTGTCGACTTCTCTCATTTAAAGAATTCTAATGCTACTTTGATTGGTAGTAGGAGTTTGAAAGGGAAGATGTAGTTTGAGGTGAAATGGAACTTCTGTAATACAGGCACCTGAACAAAAATTCAGCTGGTATAAGCTAGTAAAAATTGCATGTTTTGGTATGTGATGGTTTACCATGGGCTCAAAATCTAACAAACCAATTGGTTTTGGCTGTGCCAGTGTGTGGAAAATGAGGGTACAAAATCAATTCTCCTCCTTCAACATGTGTGTGGTAATGTTTAACTTAGTTACATGGCCGTTTACTGTCACTGTCAGAAAAGCCATACCTCGTTTGGTTTATAGGATGGGACTGTATTCTGAAAGGAGGCAGCTGTAAAATGTAGCCTTTCCTCTTGTATGTCCTGATAATGGTGTTTCTTTATGTAGCATTAAACTAGTCCACTGAACATGAAATTGGGAATTGCCAGGCTTCCAACCCCTCCTTCTTCCTACTGCTCTCTAGTGCTTTTCACCTAAGTGTTGAGTTTTACAAGATTGTCTTCCAGATATTATTATGAAAGGCACCTAAGTTTATTTTATATAT